ATCATAATTTTCCTATTTTTATTTTCCTCTTATTGTCCACCTTTTAAGCCTCTAATTAGGGGGGAAAAAGTAGACATAGAGCCCGTTTGGATTAGCTGATTGTGAATAGCTGATAAGCTTGAAGTGCTGAAAAGTTTTTTTAAGTACTGAAACTGATTTTTAAAATAAGTATTTACGTGTTTAGATAGAAGTGCTGAAACTGATAATAAGCAGTTGATGTATTTGATTAAAAAATGCGATAAGCTATTCTTTTGTTAAAATGACTAAAATACCCTTGAATTTTTTTCAAAAGATTATAAATTAAAAAATTTCTTTGTAAAGAAAAAAAATTAACAAAGAATATAGAATGAAGAGAAAGTCAATAAATTTATTTCGGGAAAAGTATTTTGTGAATTAGAAAATATTATTAAGGATAAACTAGTAAAAGTGTTGGTCAAACTAAAAGTGCTTATAAGCTGAAAAGTCATAAGTTGGTGGTGACTAACTTATGATTTATGCCTGATTTTAACTTATAAGCACTTGGCTTATAAGTACTTTGGGTGTTTACCAAACGCGTAGATAAGCCAAAAGGTATTTATAAGCCAGTTTGACCAGCTTATAAGCTTAGCCAAACACCCTCTTAAATATTGCCTTTTTAGCTTATCTATATTATTATAAAAGCATGAATAAAATGTTGGATTACTAAAATAACCTTTTAATATTAAGCATAATAACTCATAATAAAAGGATATAATCGGAATTCCAGACATTAGCCTTGTAATCCTATTAATTTTAGGATACACTTCTTAAAAAATCCTATTACTAATTTAATTTTTTTAAAAATATATTGTATTGTCCAAATCTATTTAAAAACAGGAGAGCTCACATATGATTTTTATAAAAGCATGAATATAATATTGATAAATCAAAATATCTAAAATATTAAACAGAGAACTCATAAGGAAATGGCATAGCTGTAATAACTTATTTTTTGGACTACAATAACTTCTCTGTTAATTTTTTTAATATATACAATTTTAAAATTAATACAATCTTGTCTATTGAACTCTTATTAAAAATATGTAGGAAGGTTTAATAAAATCAATTTCATAAGAATTCTCCATATTGGTAATACATTACCACTCGATAATATTCAATACCAAAAAAAAATTAATGCTAAATGGACTGCATAAAGTATTGAAATTAAGAAAATATTCCCACGATAATATATTATTATATTATATCTGAACTGCTTTCCTATTCAAATAATATTTTTTTTATGATTAATTTTTTGTTTAGTATAGAAAAATATACCCAATTATTAAAGAACAACTAAATTTTTTTTTAAGAATTGCTTTGCTTGCTGTAGCCCTATTTTTGTAGATTAGGCTTGGTAAGCATAAGCTATATTTAAGTAGGCTCGCAGCTTCGCTCAGCAGAAGAGCCTGACTTTTTATTATATTAGTAAAGCGCTAGCGCCCAACCTATACAAGGGCTTTGAAGGGATAGGGGAAGAAAAGAAAACAAAGAGGGTCATTTTCTTTTAGGAACATGGATAAATGTGTGAGGAAAAAAAAAGAAAAACGTTGGTAAGAGCCAATACCATTAATAATTTTGCAAACATAAATATCAAAAAGTGGAATGTTATCGATCTTTTTACTCTTTAAAAATAAAATTTATGGTAGATAAAATTGTAATCACGGTTAAATATTCAGAAAATGAGATGAAACTAATATTAAGAATCTAAATCAATAGAAAATAAATTATATTTTATATTAAAACCAAATAATCAAATCTTTCCATTAATTATTTAGCAAGAGAATCCAATTAAATTATTTTTTAAATTCATCATATGAGTAAAATTATTTTTCAATTAAAAAAAATCTTAGGGTACATAAATTTATTCCATAAATAGAGTGTTAGAGATTTTAAAAAAATAGATCACAAAGTAAAAAAGATTAGTATAATAATAAGAAGGTCGTACAGGTGTTTGAAAAAGAACAATCAAAGCTAAATCCTAAACAAGAATAAGCTTTCAAGACTATATTATAAAAAATCGACTCTGGTGTAGCGGAATTATCCTTTGTATATGCCTCCGGCAGAATTGAAAAATATTTCTTTGTCATGCATTACTTGCAAATATCCGATCAAGGGGCATGATATTGTTAGCAATAAGAACAAGTGGTGTACCAACAATGATTTTGTTATGAGGTCGTACAACCCATTTTAAATTTGATATACTTCTTCAAATAACTGAAATAACCATCATAAATATATCAAATCAGATCAATAGTTCTAAATTTATAAGGAAAGCAAAAGTGATATTATGGGATGAATCACTTTTGGCTAAGCATCAAACGATCGAAACAATCACTTAGAGTTTTAGAGATATGTTGGATATCGATGAACCGTTTGGTGGAAAAGTAATAGTTTGGGAGGTGATTTCTGTCAAGTACGATTAGTAGTTCCAAAATTGACCAAAGCAGAAACTGTAAAAGCTAGCTTGCCAAAATTATACTTATGACCTCAAATGAAAAATATTCAAATGACAAGAAATACTATAAAAGTAAGAACAGATCCAACTTCAGTGACTTCTTGCTTCGTGTCGGAAACGAATAAGAGCATCGAGTAAAAGATGATTTGGTTCTTCTAGAATACTTGGTTATCAACCCCAATGGTAATAGTAGTGCATTTAATAAGGAATATATATATTTTCATCATTAGATTAAAACATAATTTATGCAAATTACATGGTAGAAATTAAAGAGCTATCTTAGCTAGCAAAAATTGAATATATTGATCAACTAAATAAAATGTTGATTGCTAAGTTTTATGGTAAAAATAAAATATTTTTCAGTTTTGACTCAACTGAAGATGATACCAACAATAACTATTAAGAAGAATACTTAAATACTTTCATACCAAATGGCCTTCTACCGTACAAGTTTGTTGTCAAGTTCATTATTTTTTACCTATGTTAGTGTCGCCATATATATATTATAGACTAAGTTAAAATTGATCTTCTATTGCATATAGGTTAATTTTGAAGAAAAATATGTATGTCATGCTACTGAAAATTAGATCCGCTGAATAGCTTATGTAATAGTACACATATAATATATAGAAGTTTTGACAATAACGTCATACATGCAGAACTTATGATACTGTTCAATATGCTTCTAAGTATGTGTTTATCCCCGAATTCAACTTTTGTCTTCCGAAACTAAAGAATATCCTTTTAAGTTTGTGTGAAAATAATTTTAAGTATGTTTATATTTTGTAATTATAATAAATAAAACACAAGGACAAACATCCTAAATATTGAATAGTATTTACCACAATATATTTTCTTACGAATAACTATATGTTGCACTTTCAAGAGAGATATCAATATCGACAACAATAGTTCTGGTATAGCATAGTAACCAAAGCATTAGAAGGAAACATATACAAAAAAACATTGTCTATATAGAAGTATTCGATAAGATACCATCACATTAGATACCTTTAAACTACAATACATAATTATCTGCGTAATATGACTAAAATTGATTATTTATGTAAGTTATTATGATATCCTTTAATTTTGAATTCACGTATTATGCTAATGTAATAATATTTTCAGCACTTAGATGATTGTTGTAATATTATATATAAAATTCTCATTAATTAAATTTATTATTCTTTCATATAAATAAATTTTTAAACCATCATATGTCATTATTAACGTGCAACACACGTTTATAGATACTAGTGTTTTAAAATAAGTAAGTAGGAGCATGAGTACACTTGTCAAGAAATAAACTAGACTCGCATAAGTAATGTTTGTTATGTGACTCACATACTAAAATTTCTCACCGTTATAAGGGTCAATTTACAAGAGTGAAAGCGAAACCAGATTTACAAAATGATAAACCTAAAGAACCAATATCAACCGTGTGGTTGAACAATTCAAAAGACGCAACATAAATCAATAGACTCTCTCTTTTCTTTTTTGTTTTCTACTTAGAGCACAAACATGTGGACCTAAATTTGTATGCAACTAGCAAAAGGACCCACCAAGTTTCCAGTTGTGTTTCTATCAGAGGAACTTTAGTTTCATTCCTCCCTAATGCCGCTCGCAATCATTGTCATTTTCTGTGGAATATTTCACAATATGCTGTCCGACTATTGTCTCAATCTAAAGTGAGTTTAGATTTGAAATTATGGTAAGTTTAAGATTTTACCTCTTCTTTCAAGTTGATATTCTTTTATTCTCTTTGTCCCAATTTATGTGAAGTGTTTGACTCGACACATAATTTAAGAAAGAAAAAAGACTTTTGAATCCTTATAGTATAAATATAAAACAAGCTATAAATAGTTAGGTGATTATAAATTATCTCATTAAAGGTAAAATAAGAAGTTTGAAGTTAAATTGTCTTTAAATAAGAAAATATTACATTCTTTTGGGACATACTAAAAATGAAAGTATGACACATAAACTAAGACATAAGAAATATTAACTTTAAGTTGTCGACTTACAATATATAAATATATAATGCTTGTTAAATTTGAAAGTATACTGTGTACACACATAAAAATACAAATAAAAACTATTTAGGAATTTGTGTCAGATTACATAGGGGCAGAGCTAGCCTTCACTATATGGGTTTAGTCGAACCCATTAATTTTGGTTTAAACTCTGCATTTATTTTAAGAAATTCATATAATATGTACAAATCATTAATTTAGAACCTAGTAACTTAGAAGAGCTAGATTTCAATTTTAAATTCTGACTCCGTTTCTGAGATTACACCTCTAAGTAAAGGGTTATGTAGCTTATTAGGCAGGGGTGCAATCAAATGCAGTATTTCAATACAGAATCATGATATATATGTTAAAAATTACTACTAAAATTTAACAAATGTGACATTTTAAACTCAAAATTCGAAAAGTCTAATAAGTGCAATAATAAGAACTTTAAAGGGTGAATTCGTTAATTTTAAATTCTGAATTGGTCTAAAACAGTACAAATGTTCGCCTATATTAGAGGCTGAAGCTGATGGCTTAATTTATGAAGTCGCTAAGGAGGTAGTGCAAGCATACTTACAATTACCAATCATCAAAACATTTGGAGAAATAAGAAAATGTCCTTACCGNATAAAAAAATTTGGAGAAATCATTCAACAACAGTCACATAAGAAAATGTCCTTACCAGAGCTTGAGCTCCCTGGCTTCCGTTTTCATCCCACTGCTGAAGAACTCATCAACTTCTACCTCAAAAGGATTATCAAAGACAAAAAACTTGACTCCAATGTCATTGCCTTTGTCAACATATATCTCCACGATCCTTGGGAGTTACCTGGTTAGTAACACAGTTCCTTCCCCCCCCCCGATTCTTTCTTTCTGTAATTATTTTATTAATGATTTGATCGTGTAAATATAATTCACACAGTAAAAACTCATTAACCTATTGCCAAACGTTGATGTTGGAGCAAAAAAGTTTTTGATTCCAAATCAAAAGAAATTGGTACAGCAAAATATGGAACTGGAATTATTGACATTTTTAGCACATTTTTACTTATCTTTGCTACTTTTTTTATTTTTTATTTTATTTTTTGTGGAAGTAGGATTGGCAAGAATAGGGGAAAGAGAGTGGTATTTTTTTGTACCAATAAACAGAAAACATGGTCCTAAAGGGAAGCCTAACAGAACAACAAGAAATGGTTTCTGGAAGGCAACTGGTTCTGATTGCCAAATTCGTTCAACATTAGACCCGAGGAAGGTTATTGGGCTCAAGAAGACTTTGGTTTTCTATGGTGGAAGGGCACCTAAAGGGTGCAGAACTGATTGGGTCATGAACGAGTACAGACTTCCTGATGGCCACCCCTTACCTAAGGTACTTAACTTTAACTTATATATATTAACAGTGTAAAGATTTTTTACACTATCGATGTTATTTAACTTATTGTAATAGGTAATCTCCAAGTTGTTGATTCCATCTTTTAAATTACCTGATGGTAAAAAAACAATCACTATATAGAAGTTAAAATCAAAGTGTACTAGGTAAAAAAACAATCTCCAGTCCTCACACTCTGTTCTTTTTCTTTTCCTTTTCTAGTTCTTATTCTTTGTGACAGCGAATTCAGAATTCTTGTAGGAAAGGTTAAATAGAGAACTATTCAGAACTTTATTAACATGCTACACCAGGGGCGGAGGCAAAATTTGAGATAAGGGGATGTAAGAGATGCTAAAATATCACAATTTGGAGTTGAACTGATGACCTAAAACTGTTTTTGAACACTTTTTCCCACTATGCTATAAACTGTCCTAACTTTAACGGAATCCAACAATCAGTATATAAACATAACGGAAAAAAGATCACCTATGCGCAATATAATTTTCCTATAAAGAGGATACAATTAATTCTAGGACCAATGTCACTATATCACTATAATGTACTAAAAGTCTACACGATTTAGGGCCCGTTTGGTCATAATTGTTTTTTACTTTTTTCCAAAATCAATGTTTGGCCATGAATTTTTTTAATTCTACTTGAAATTAAATTTCAAATTTTTTCGTAATTTGAAAAAGTCCAAAAAACTGTTTTTCAAAATTTTCACTTCAAATCACTCAAAAAAAAAAAATCAAAAACAGCTCTGTCAAAAATCAGCCATTAGAGAGCACTGTAACGTGAAGAAGAAGGAAGAAATTGAGAAATTTCTAACTGCAATTACTGTGCTAACAGAATCAGTTATATACAACTAATTGAAAAGATAAAATAATAAAAGGACCTCTAACTTCTAGTAATTATATTTAGGTCCCAATAATAACTAACATCTAATCCCTAACTTCCAATACTCCCCCTCAAGCTGGAGGGTGGAGAATGTTCAACACTCCCAACTTGTTGAGTAAGAACCTATGCTATACAGATGATTGTCCTTTGGTGAAGAGATCTGCCTGTTGATCTTTGTAGAAACATATTGAGTAACCAAGATACCATCCTTGATACGTTCACGAACAAAATGACAGTCTATCTCAATGTGTTTAGTACGCTCATGAAATAAATGTTTCGCAGCTATTTGCATTGCTACTTTGCCATCACATAACAGTGTGACATGATTAAGAATACACACTCCCAACTTTGAAAATAACCCCAACAACCACACTATTTCTGAAACTACTGATGCCATGCTGCGATATTCTGCTTCAGCACTACTTCGTGAAACAGTGTGTTGTTTCTTTGATTTCCATGAAATCAATGAATCACCAAGTTTAACTGCATATCCACTATCAAACCTTCTTGTCATTGGGCAAGCTGCCCAGTCAGAATCACAAAAAGTTGTCAATGTATCTACATTCCCTCGCTTCAATAGAACTCCCATTCTTGGTGTAGCCTTTAGATATCTGACTGCTCTAAAAGCAGCCTCCATGTGTGACTTCTTAGGAAGTTGCATAAATTGTCTCAAGGTTTGCACTACATAACTGATATCTGGTCGAGTGACTGTCAAGTAGAGCAATTTCCCTATCAGTTTTTGATAGCTATTTGCATCGATCAAGGGATCTTTATCTTCTATTCCAGCAGCTCTGTCATATTTCACTGTTGTGAGTTTCTAATTGACTTCAAGTGGTGTTAATGCTGGTTTGGCACCACTTAAGCCCAACTCAGAAATGAGCTCTAAATTATATTTTCTTTGGTTAAGTAGTATTCCATGATTAGATCTCAACACCTCAATCCCTAAGCAATACCACAATTCTCCTAGGTCTTTGAGTTTAAACTGCTGATGCAAAGCTACCTTAGCTTCATCAATCAATTCCTTATTACTTCCAGTTAGTAGCAAGTCATCAACATAGATGAGGATGATGACAATATCCTTGCCTGGCCTCTTAGTGAACATAGAGTAGTCATGAGTGCTATGTATGAAACCTGCTCCCACCAAAGCTTCTGTGAGTTTCAAATTCCATTGCCTAGATGCTTGCTTGAGACCATATAAAGAATTAAGCAGCCTACACACCTTCTGCTCCCCCTGCCTTTGGAAGCCCTGTGGTAAATCCATATAGACTTCTTCAAATAAATCTCCTTGAAGGAAAGAATTAAAGACATCCATTTGGTATAAGGTCCAATCTTTTGTGGCTGCAAGTGTTATCACAGACTTAATAGTCAACATCTTTGCAACTGGTGAAAATGTCTCATGATAGTTTAATCCCTCTTGTTGATTGTATCCTTTTGCCACTAGTCGTGCCTTGAATCTTTTAACTTCTCCATTTGCTTGGTACTTTATTTTGTACACTCATTTGGACCCAATAGAAGTTTTGCCTGGTGGTAAGTCAACAACCTCCCAAGTCTTATTATCTTCTAATACTTGTATCTCCTGCTTCATGGCTGTGATCCACCTCTCATCCTTTATAGCTTCCTTGAAGTTATAAGATTCCTTCAAGGCTGAAAAATTGAGATATAACTTCTGTATCTTGATGACATCTTCTCATAGGATAGGAAGTTTGAGGTTGGATAATTGCATTTTGAGGGCTTCTGTGACTGCAACACATAGTCTCTTTGCCATATAGGTGGAATCTTTATCCTTAGTGACTGTCGAGTTGGTGCATTGGAACCAGACTCAGTCCTAGGTGTATCTTGCCCATTTTGAACATCTTCAGTGACACCATCTTGAACAAGTGAACCAGCAGATATGTCTTCAACATTGTTTAGCACACCATGTGTAGTTTGTGTTCCATCTGTTACTATCTCCTGCACTGGTGGTGCAGCATCATGATTTTCATTTGGTACTGATGACTCTTCCAAAATCTCCTGCTGGTGATGCTGCATTATGAATTCCATTATTGCCGCTCTCTGCGGTGAACTGGTGCATGTGTTTGTTGTTTCTATTGTATTAGGAACCTGAAATGATTCCTGAAGATTGGAAATTGTTGGTAGTCCACCTGTTTGAGCCTGCAAACCAGTCTCTAAAAAACTAGAACCAAAGTCATTAGATGTGAATAGATGTTGTGTTATTTTCCTAAATTGAAACTCATTCTCCCTAAAGGATATATCTCTGGTAATGAAGAAGGTTCTAGTAGTTAAATCATACAATCTATAGCCCTTTTGAGTAGTTGAATACCCAATGTGAACAACATGTTTAGCCCTTGCACCAAACTTATCATCTAATACTAGATTTGTAGCATAACATAGGCATCCAAAAACTCGTAAATATGCTATTGAGGGCTCTCTACCATACAACATTCCATAAGGGATTTTTCCACTTAATATCCTGGTAGGCAATCTATTAATCAAGTAAATAGCAGTTTGTACACATTCCTCCCAAAGTATGTCTAGAACATGACTTTGAAATTTTAAGGCCCTTGCAGTATTCAGTATATGTCTGTGTTTCCTTTCAGCTACGCCATTCTGCTGGGGTGTATATACACAACTACTTTGATGAATAATTCCCTGAGATAGCAAGAACTCATTCCACTGTGTATTGAAGAACTCTTTACCATTGTCTGTTCTCAAAATCTTGACAGAAGTGTCAAACTGTGTCTTAACCATGGAAACAAATTGCTTCAGGAAAGTAATAGTTTCATTCTTAAACTGCATCAAGAAAATCCAAGTAGCTCTAGAAAAATCATCCACAACTGTAAGAAAGTAATGTTTCATATCATGAGTGCTCTTCTTATATGGTCCCCATACATCCATGTGAACCAATTCAAAGGCTCTAGCACTCCTTTTCTCATTTTTAGGAAAGCTAAGTCTAGACTGTTTAGCTAAAGGGCAAACAGTGCATTTATTCTGCATATTATCATCTATTTTATTATGCAAAAAAGAAACATACTAGATAACAGGAATAGAAGCATGCCCTAATCTCTCATGCCACAAGTATGCTGTTTCACCACTTGAATTTCTCACATCCGTATTTGCTGCTAAAAGTCTAAATCCTCTTCCTTTCAGTATGTACAAACCTTCATTTTCTTTACCAATCGCTTTTACCCTGCCATTGTAAAGATCCCGAAACACACATAGTGTAGGCTGAAATGTGGCAGCACATTTTAGATCTCTAGTTAGCTTGGACACTGACATTAGATTAAACTTAAAATCAAGAACATGTAGTACATTCTCTAGCTTATAAACATCTGACAAATATGAACTTCCCACATGTTCAATTTTTGTAGTGATACCATTTGGCAATGTCACTTTATCTTGTGTCCTGTCATCTACTCTTCTTACACTACTCATTAAATCTAAGGTAGATGAAATGTGATGTGTTGCTCCTAAATCTACAATCCAATCATCATTCCTTTTGTTTGAGCTATGCATACTAGAATATAATGCAGTGATTATACCTGCAGTCGTTGCTTGATTCTGTGCCTTCATGTCACTTGGTGGTGAGTCTTTGTTCAACAAATCTAGAATCTGCTGGTACTATGCTTCTGTAAAGAAATGATCTCCTCATCTAGCTTGTGATGCTCCTGATGTTCCTTGTGAACTTTGAGCCATATTTCCTTCTTCATGATTCACAGAACCTTCCACATGATTCGCAGTTGTTAGAATCCCTTTAGGATGAAATACTTTCCTTCTTCTGAAATCTTCAGAGTATCCTACTATTTTGTAGCAGTTTTCCTTTGTATGCCCTCTCATATGGCAGTGTTCACATTGCAGATATAGTTTCCTTCCACGAAATCCTTGACCTCTCCCTGCTTGCATGGCTAAGGATCTGATTTATGACCTTTGACTCCACCTACTGCACATTGTTGACTCTCATCTTGTGTTATGAGCGCATATGCCTGATTAAGTGTGGGTTCAGTGGTCTTCATTAGAATTTATTTACGAGCTTGGTCATATGTATCATTTAGTCCATCTAAGAACTGCATGACTCTTTGCTGCTGTAAATGAGTCATGTGTTCTTTAGATTTTGGACAACCACTGTTCGGATATGGCACCAAAACATCATACTCAACCCATAGTTCCTTCAATTTGGTAAAATACACAGGTACAGAATCTGCTCCTTGAGATAACCTCGAAATCGATCTGTGTAACTGAAAGATGCGAACTCGATTTACCTTATCAAATCGCTCCTGCGGGTCTTCCAAAACTGCATGTGCATCTGATACATAAATGATACCACTAAGCATATCCTTCGAAACAGAGTTCATAATCCAGCTGTGCACTACAAGTCTCCCATTCCTCATGGAGATTTTCCTCGAATGACTCCTTTGCACAAGCTCCTATTACAAACCCTAGCTTTCGCTTAGCTTTGAGAGCAAGACGCATTGATCTACTCCACAATCCACAGTTTTCCGATCCTGTGAGCTGAATTGGAATTATAACCAATCCAGGTGTGTCTGAAGGTTGAAGGAAAAATGGATGAGTGTGGGCGATTCTTTTTTTTTTCTCTCCGTCGCCATTAACGCACATGCAGAGTTCTAAAGCAACATTTTTTGTCAAACTAAAAAATTGTTTTGAATTAGAAAATAAGAGAGCGAATTGAATCAAAGCAGTCGATTAGTTGGAGAAATTTCATAATCTCACGAATCTTGTCTCCATGGCTCTGATACCATGTCAAAAATCAACCATTAGAGAGCACTGTGACGTGAGGAAGAAGAAGGAAGAAATTGAGAAATTTCCAACTGCAATTATTGTACTAACAAAATCAATTATATACAACTAATTGAAAAGATAAAATAATAAAAGGACCCCTAACTTCTAGTAATTACATTTAGGTCCCAATAATAACTAACTTCTAATCCCTAACTTCCAATAAGCTCCAAATTGTAATTATGTCCAAACACAACTCTATTTCAAATACCATTTTCACTTAATTTTTTTTCCCACAATTTATGTCCAAACGCCCACTCAGCTAGACAAGACTCGTTTATTTTGTCACTATCACCTTCAAGGAACTCAAATTTTGTAAATTGTAAATTGGATGCAGGATCATGACATAGTACTTTGCAAAGTTTACAGAAAGGCAACTTCCTTTAAAGTATTGGAGCAAAGGGCAATAGTTGAAGAACATGCAGCAAAAAGACCCCCAACATCACATGACAATCTTGGTCCTTTAGTCCCTCAAGAAGACTTGGAATCATCAGCCTCACATAATTTTAGAAGCTTCCAAGAAGAAAATCATAACACCACCATTAAGCTACCTCAATTATCAAGTCCCCTCTGGACTGAACTACAGAGCACAGGGCAAGACTTGTGGAGTCTATTTTCTTTGTCCTGAAGAGACTAATTACTTACCCATTTAAGCTTAGAATGACATATTTCAATATGAAAGTCTTTTACACGACTCATTAAAGTTTGATGTCGGAATAAATAAGTTGTCTCTTTCATAGGGGAAATTATGATTGTAATCTGACAGTTTTAACTCTATTGCTGTTTTGCCTGATGAGGCATTATAAGGAATCTTCATGTAAAATGTAAATTACCTTCCCCTTTCTTTGGGTTATGATGGCTTCTTTATGCAATCAACGACAACAACAACAATCCAGTAAGATCACATATGTGGGGTTTGGGGAGGCTTCTTTATGCAATCAAATAGCCCATATGTTCAACCATGATTGATGCATCTAATTGTTATGTAAACTCGGGTATCACTTTATTAATATTAAAAACTTGTGAATTCAACCATGACTGATGCATCTAATTGCCTTCTCTATTTTCCTGCTTCCTTTTTTAGATGTTAATTTTCAGAATTACCCCCTGCGTATGGTAAATGTTCTTTTTTCATTGAAAACTTACTGAAATAGAAAGTTATAACGTTCTGAAAAAGGAGTAGAGCTTTAATTCCTTATAGATTCTTAGGATATATACCACTGCAATTTTTTCCCGGTTAGGTAGGAATAACTACCTAAAGAGTCTACTTTGAGGAATTAAGTAACGCTTCTATCCCAGTAGTTATGGACTCTAATATGGTAGTTTTCTATTTTCCTTCTTTATGATGCATTGCAAATTCACAATACAAAGATTTCATATTGATAATGATACCAAGACTGGTTACTAATAGCCGTTTAACATGTGTTCGATCCATTGGATAAGACTACAAGGATATTATAATATGCAGCACCGATATGACGATTCAGTTATACCATCAAGGGCTGTGGTGAAAGAATTCTGATAGAAAGTGTTTTCCTCTTTAATCGGTCTTGTTAGACACATATTCATATTAGTCGGATCCAAAGTAGGTAACAGACACACTGGAAAAAAAATTCAATTCCTAGTTGGGGAGTATTTATGGTGTTTTGATAAAATGTGCTGCTCATGTCTCGAGCAACACTACTAGAAAGGGTAAAGCTAATAGGGGAAAGCCCCTAATTATAAGGATTAAGGAAGGCATTTGCTAGCTAGAGTCAAGCGGGTGGCATTGTTCTGCTCTCCTTGGTAGGAGAGTGCTTTAATCGGACATAATAAAAAAGGAACCATTGAATAGAGACGACTCAGTTTAAATATTCTCTAGTTAAAGTATGTTCTTTTAGAATATTTGGATTGACTTGACGGGTTGTATCTCCGCTAAAGATTACTACGTATGGGATTTGGCTCATTTGCATTTCCTGTTGTATCCATTTCCTCAAGTTCTAACTTTGATGGTCTAAGACTCTTAAGTATATATCTCTTTTTAGTTTTAATGGTCGAAGTATAATTACCTTCTTAAAAAGTCATAACCATAGTTAAGATAATAGATTTTTTTTTGGTTATATTTGTAGGCATATAAATTTTATTGGAATTAAATCCGTAAAATAATTTGGACTATATTTTAAATTCAAGATATATTGGTCTAAATAAATATTATGGGCTAATATATAAATGAATTAATTATACAAGTCCAATATATATGGATTAAATAAATAAGTCTTAATCCATTGGGCTTGAAGACTTAATTGGGCTAAAGTAATGAGCCCACTTCATTAAGCCCAAGATGACATCTTCCTAGAGGCCCAGTTTGGTGCCACGCGTGAAATGACGTGGCACGCCAAGTCAAACGGAAGAGCCAATAGGATCATGCCACGTATCAAAATGACAAGGCATGCCAAGTCACACTAAAAGGCCAATGAAATCGCACCACGTGTGCAAGTGACATGTATCACACTTCAATTTGATTGGTCGGAAAGAGTTTGTTCTTATCATAACTCTTCCTTTCAACAACTATAAATAGGGGTCTTCATAACTCAGAAAAGACACCAGAAGTTATAACAAGAAGCAAGAAAGAGCTCGTGGATCAAACGCTGCAAATTTCTCCACTAGTGTCAAGCTTCAAGTTCAAGTTCAAGAAATCAAGTTCAAGTTCAAGAACAAAGAACAAATCAAGGTCAAGTTCAAGTTCAAGAACAAGATCATCGTTTGTGGCAACAAATACATATTCAAGATCAAGCTCAAAGGCCCTTGAATTTATTTACTATAGAAAAGTAGAATCAGAGGATTCATAGAGATTGTAACACTCAAATATTCGAAATAAAATACTACGATTGTTGCGATATTTTTTCGGTCTTGATTTTATTTTCTCGACCTAAATTTATTGTCTACAAA